CACTGCTGCTACTTGTCGTTTGACTTCGGTCTTCAGCCCGGCGAGATACGACTGTACATCCGACGGCTGCGAAATAGATCTCCATGCCGGCGATCCATCTGCGGACGTCGGAATTTTGATCGCTCGGTTCGAACGGCTCATATGGGCGCGATGTCGGAGCCTTGAGAAACTGCTGTGACTACTGCATTGTCGCCGTTGTCATTTCGTGCTGTGCGCCGGCGTGTCGAGTTACTCGCTCGAACTCGTTTCGCCAAGCTTCGCGGTCGGCTCGCATCTCCTCGTGTAGGGCGGCGATGCTTGTGAAGAGCTGCTGGGAAACCTCGACGTTGTCGAAGTTCGCCATCCTGTTCAAAACACGTGCGGAGGGGGTAATTCAAAAAACGTGGAGCTGGTGCTTAACAGAATTGGCGCCGAATTAGTCGCTTTCGGCGGTTTTTCGAGGCAGGTTTTCCCGATGCTGCTGCTTATCTGAGTGCGGCTGGGTGAGAAAAGCTCTGATTACCAAGTGTTATCGGATCAAATGTGTCGAGGAAAAGTTCGACTATCGATTGATACAAGGCGCTTTTATACTTCCAAGGTACATCAGGTAACCAGGTTGATCCTGTCCGAAGGGAATAGATCCTTCAAGAAATAGAATCACCATGTGTATAGCCATGCAAGGCTATTGGCTTTAAGGGATAATGGCAAGATTACGCTAGATATAGTGCGCCAGTACATCCTGAGCCTGGTCGGTGATATCATTATAATAATAGGATAAACCTAAGGATAACGAAAAGCTGGGGAATAGGAATCCAAATGAGATGAGACAAAGAGCCAAGGAATCAGGATAAAAAGAAGAATGAGATGAAGGAGAAAGATGAAAATGAGAAAGGAGTGTAACGGGGTCGTGCTCTCATACAAACCCTTGAAGAACTCCTCCAATGACAACTCGTTTTTCTCCCAACGTGCCATCACGTTCTCGAGCTGCATGATGTTGTTCTTCAGGCTTGCACCACGCGCCGTGTCTCTTGAGAATTGCTCGGAGACCTCAAACTTCGGCAATTGTGTGCAGCGAAAAAAATTTCCGCCACTCTCTTCTGGCACTAGCCTAGCCTATATTACCAGCCAATCAGAGATTGGCATCCATCCTGCCATCCGCCTCTCTGCCCAGCTGTCCACTTGCACACACACACACATGCACACGAAAGCGCGACAAACAACATAACCCGCCCTAGCCATCAACCTAGGTTCGGCTGATCCCCGGCTTGCTCCCAACCTTTGCCATCAACCGCCAGTTGGCACCAATGACGACCTCTGGTGGAACGACTCACGCCTTCGATGACCTCTTGCACTTCATCGTCTGAGACGGCATCGAGTTGTGGATACGCAAGGGTCCTGATGGTCCCCTCTTGTCGTAGTGTGTCGCGAGAGAGGTCGAGAGGGGCGTCATCCGCGTCGGCAGCTCGTGGGTCTGAAGAGCCTGCTGCCAGCAGTGCTGGAGAATCTGCAGGTAGCTCAGTTGAGAGACATCTACCGCTACAAGCAGTGGCAGCAACAGAGCAAGGAAGGAGAGGCGCTGGCACTGCAGGTGGAGGAGGAAGTGTACCTTCGCCGAATGAAAGGGGATGCCCTGGACATAGGAGTCACACACCAGCGATGGACAGTGAAGGAGGTACGCGAGTCGGGTGTGATTGTGCTGGAGGATGATAAAGGGCGACACGTCATGGATCACACCACGAATGTGGCCTGGCTATCGAAGGCTCGGTGAGCGGAAGTGAAGGAAGGGGGCCTTGGAGACCAGCAGCCACTGCCACGAGAAGGAGCTAGCATCTCGGGCAATCAGGGTCCCGTGACTCAAGCGAGGGCGGCGGCAGAGCACGGGAGGGGGCATGAGAAGGCCTGGTCCAAGCAGGGCTAGAGAGAGGAAGGGGAGGCGAGCAATGAGAGAGACGGGAGGAAAAGACCAGAGTCAGGTGTCAGAAGAGGGGAGCAGCAGGAGGGGATGGGAGGAACGGTCTACAAAACAGAACTACAGGAGAGCAAGGCAAAGTTACACGACAGCTGTCAGAATCTCTTAGTGGATTGCGTCCACAGAGAAATGCATACAGAAAGGGGACATTACTGTACATTATGTAAATGTTTGTAAATAGTAACACGGGCGAGGAAGGAACTGTAACGGGATAGAAGTCGGGGAAGGGCTGGTGGGGAAGTTGCACGTCCTCGGTCTCCATGCATTAGTTCACCAGGGCCCCTCCATGCTTGAGCCAAAAACACCACGTCAGGCTCTCACTTGACCCCACCGTGCTGAATGGCGAAAGGCCATGCTTCGCTCGCGAGATGCCTGGGTTCTGGTGGACCGCAAAGTAGTGAAGGGCAGGAATATTCTATCCAGCAAATGGGTCTACTGTGTCAAGACGGACGCCAAAGGAAGTATCGAACGCTACAAAGCACGATGAGTCGTACAAGGCTACGACCAACGCCACTTCGTGGACTTCGATCTACAGTATCCTTCGCCCACGTCAGCCGCCACACTACTGTGCGCATTGTCTTTGCCATCGCCGCATGTCGGCACCTGGAGCTCCGGCACATTGATGTTAAGAACGTGCTCCTATACGCAAAATTCGACGCTCTAATCGTTGTTGAGCACCCACACACCTACGACGACGAGGACCCTCATGTATTTCAACTCCAAAAGTCCTTGTACGGGATCAAATAGGCACCACGCCTCTGGCAGCAGTGCATGACATTCTGTTCGACATTGGCTTTATCCAGCTACCACATGACCCCGGAATGTACCGTCTCCACTTCTGCACAAGGGGGCTGAACTGACGGGGGCAGTGGTCCTCCTCTGTGGCCCGCGCGCCTGCAGACCTGGCCGGCCTTGGGGCCGGTCAGCAGATGGTACAGTACGCGAGGGTGCGCCTCCAGGACTGCCATCGCCCTGGCTTACAGACGACCCCAGGGCACCGACTGCTCTGGGGCCCAACCTCTACAACCTCCACTATGACGACCACTCCCAGGGTCCGCCAGTCCCCACGGCAGCAGCTGCTGTTGCAGCGACCTCTGCTGCTGCTACTGTTGCGACGTCCCTGACTCCGACTAACCACCCTCTTCGTTTGTCCCTGCACCCCCTCCACCCGCCACTGCCGCCGCCCCACGGCCCTTGCCCCCTTTGCGCTTGCCCCTCTGGCTTGAGGAGCGACTGGCCGTGGTGGCTGCCGCGGCAGTCTCCGTCGCAGTCTCTGCTACAGAGACGGAGGCAGTAGTCACCTAGGAGGGAGCGCCACCTTGAAAGATAGGGACCGCCAGCGCGCTAGTGGAGCCACCGATGGCGCGGAAGCGGTCCTCTATCTCAGTCAAGGAGCTGGAGAACAGGTCAAGAGTGAGCTCAAAGGGGTGGCAGGCAAGTAGCGCGTCGCGAGCAGGGGCAAGGCGGTCAGGAAAGCGGGTGACAAGGAAGTAGAGAGTGGCATAGAGGGGGTTGGGAATGTAGCCGATTGGGTCTTTGTACAGGCTGCAGGCCAGCGGGCCTCAAGGGAACGCAGGTGCTTGACTAAGTCAACTACAGTAGTGAAAGAGGACATGTCGGGGAATAAGAAGGGGAGGAGGAGGCGACCAAGAGTGGCAGACGACGGGGTGGAATACCTAACAAGAAAGGCAGTCTAGAGGGCGTGGGCCGACGCAACACCCACAAAGTGGGAGTGCTCGTCGACCATCAGGCACTTGAGGATGGCGACATGGGTAGCGGCGTCGCGGGTAGCTCAGACCGAGTAGGCGGTACGGGCAGCGGCGTGCTCGGCCTGGTGCACCGACGTAGCATCAGTAGCAAGAGTGTCAGGGAGGGGGGGGGCAAAGAGCTCACAAGAGACGTGAGCCTCCAGGGACTCATCGCCCACGCGCTGGCTCATCAGCTGGAGGAGCACAGTCTCCGGCCAGGCAGCAAACCCGATCTCCCAACCCTCACCATATAGGCGCAGAACAAAAATAGTGGAGGCCGACATATTCATAGTCGGCAGGGAGCAGGAGACTGGCAACGAACTGGCAACTGGCGGCTGGCCATCGACTGCTGAGTACCATGGCGGCTTCGGCGGTAGCTACGGCTGTAATGGCAGTGGCGGCAGCAGCGGCGGCAGCGGTAGTAGCAGCGGCTGCAAAGGCAGCGGCCGGAGTGGCACGAGCGGCCGCAGTGGCGGCTGTAGCGGCAGCGGCAGCAGCGGCGGCAGTAGCGACAACGGAACGGCAGCGGCGGATGCAAATGCTGGTGCGGCAGGGGCGGCAGCAGCGGCTGCAAATGCTGCTACGGCAGGGGCGGCTGCAGTGGCAGAGGGCGGCAGTGGGCGGCAGCGGGCGGCAGGGGGGGGCGCCAATGGCTGCGGCAGGGGTTGCGTAAGTGGCAGCTGCGATTGCAGCTGGCAGTAGTAGGCGGCAGCTGGCGGCAGCGAGAGGCAAGGAGCTAAGTAGCTAAGGGCGGAAGCGTGAATAGGTGAGACATAACCTAGCTCTAGATGCCATGTTGAGATGGCGAGAAAAGTTCGACTAGGAAGAGGGGAGGGGAAATACAAGTACAATGCATTGTCCCCTCTAAGAGCTGACCTAGCTAGGTTATAACAAACATACCTAACCTAAATAGATATAAAGATATGGTTGTTGACACTGTCCTCTTGGAAAGCTCTATTGAGGCTCGGAAGCCGAAATGTAAGGCTCTGAAATCGGCGCAAAGCGCCCGAACCTGCACAAAACTGCAAAGCGTACTGGATGCATGCGGCTTTGGTCAGAGCCACATTTGGCGCACGCAGTCCGAGTGTACGTGCATTTTTGCGCAGGAACCCCGTTATGGTGTTGTACGCTCTACTAGCTAAAATCCGGACTAAGAAAATACAATTTCTGTACATTACCTCAACTTGTTATTTCACGATTTCCGCCAATCTTCATCCTCGCTACTAGGCACTTCGGCTACACCCTGAACGCCACCGAACCTAACTACGATGTACCGAACAACCAACGGTTGCGACGTTATTATCCATCATAGCTGCCTTGGCCCCCTTCACCTGCCTCAGTGCGTGCAACGCGCGTCGTCCGCCTGCGTGTGCCGCGCCCGTCTTGCCACTCCCCATGGCGACACCGCCCACCTGCTCGTGTCTCCCGTCATCCGCCACCGCCACTCCTCTCCTCCTTCCCCACGCCGCCGATATCACCCCGCGCTCCTTGCGCGGTACCCGCCTACCCGCTGCAGTCGCTTCCCCGGCCGCTGCCTCGGCTCGCCGCAGCGCGGTAGTCCGCGCGTCGCTCGCTCTCCCTCAAGGTGGCGCACCTCGCCCCGCGCCTCTCGCCCTTCGCTGCGTCGCCCGGCTGCCTCACTGCCGCCGTCAGCCACCAGTCGTTCGGAAAGCTCTTTCCTTCTCCTCCCGCCTTTTTCTTCCTCCACCACTCTCTCCCCCCCCAACCCTTCCCCCGCCCGCTCCCCCCAGGCGTGTTCCAGCCGCTGGCCGTTGCGTTCCAGCGGGGGCCATGGGGCGCGTCGGCGGCGGAGACGGCGGAAGAGGCGGCGCTGGTGGCGGCAGTGGGGGCGGCGAAGGGGCGGGGGAGAGAGGTGACGGACGAGCAGAGGCAGGTGAGCCGCACGCAGGGCAGGCGGGGGAAAGCGTGCTGTGGCGCGGGTGCATGCATCCCCTGCTCAATTCGCCCAGCTTGTCTCTCCCGCCCTCAACCGCGGGTTCGTGCGCGCTTGGATCGGTCGTGCTGTATGATCCTCCAATTGTCGTGGCTGTGAGGCTGCTCACCACGCACCCTGCCAGATGATCGCACTCTCCTCCACTGCAAGCACAGGGGCGCCATGGCCCGTGGGGGTGGAAGCACTGACCCGCGCAACAGCCAGTCACTGCTGCTCACACCTATGCCTGCCCCGCGCCCCTCCCTGCCACCGTGCGTGCGTCCCCCTCCCCCCCTCCCCCCACCGTGCATGCGCCTCCCCACGTGCGTGCGTCCCCCCGCCCCCCTCCTTTCCCCGTGCGTGCAGGCCATTCAGAGGGCCGTGGAGACGCTTGAGGCCACGCAAGGCGTGAGGGGGCCGGTGAGTGCTGGGGGCAAAGATGGGGGAGCGAGAGTGGACGTGGCACACATGGGGGAGGGAGGCACACGGCACCAGGTGGAACACAACCACAGGTGCGTGGCACGAGGAAGTGGGGTGCGAAGCTGCAGCAGGCGCTGTGTGATGGCGACTTTTGCTGTTGCAGCGCTTGTTGGCCCCTACGTGACGCCATACGCGTTTGGCGTATGGTGCGCTAGTGTATACACACTTAAAGCTAGGATTTGGCTGGGGCATAAGCTTGAAATACGCTTGGCCGGGCAGGCAAAGAAATTTATGGGCAGGGCAAAAAAAAAACCTTCGCACTAAGCTTAAGGCGTCAGGTGAGTTTAGAGTAGTTGCTGGCCTAGACAAGCGCGGCCTGAAATTAGGGCTGCGGCAATATCGTAAGAGAGGGATAAGGTGGTGATCCCACTCTTACGTAGAGGACATTCAGGGGAGAGGTTGGTTTTTCTAGTTGAGGTAAGGTTGAGTGCAGTTGGCGGCAAGGTGCAAAAATACGGCCGTATTTTATTTTTTTTGGCGTATAATACGGAATCGTATTTTTCGGTTGTATAAAACGATTTATAACGCTAAAAGTGTACCTTTTTTGGTAGGTGCAAAAATACGGCCGTTTAATACGGCCGTTTTTTTCAACCCACCGAAACATTGGTCGGTCTAGTTTTTGTAATGAAGTCACGATGTTATCGAGTTGTTCTGTACTCACCCAGAAACGTCGAGTTCCGGTTTTCACCGAGCTGCGGATTTGACGGATTCACGAGCCGCGCAGACCCAACATTGTGGAGGAGTAGTAGGAGTAAGTTAGACTAGACTGACCTGGAAAGTTGCTTGTTAGCCCGCGTAGCATTCGGTAGTCTGTCATAGCCAAGGTACTGTCAGTTTCTGCATGTCTGCCTTTTTTTTTCCAGAGGTTTTCGTCTATTAAAAAACCGGCGTTTTTTTCAAAAATCTGGCGTATTATACGACCGTATAAAACGGATCGTATAATACGGATACCGTTTTTTTGCACCCTGGTTGGCGGTGGAGGAGAATGGGTTTGGAAGCTGAAATGTAGCCAAAATGTCGACCTTCGCGATTTGGCGACATTTCGGTTAGACTCGCCAAATCGCCGAGGCGCGGTTAAATGCTCTTAGCGTACAGCCCGAAAAATATGGCGGAGCGTATAGCGTATTTTGAGCGTTTAGCGTGTAGTGTATATAAGCGCATGCGTATATACGCTCTACGCTTGCCTGAAATGCGTATGCGGTCAAGTAGGTTGGCCCCTGCTTATCAAATGCTGTGCACTTTCACTCGCCCCACTCCATCCACCCTTCCCCCTCTCCCGTTTCCACTTTGTCCTCTCCCTCTCTTCTCTCCCCCCCCTCCACTTCCCCCCCTCGCGTGCGTCGCCCCAGACCCAGTCGCCGCTGCTGGAGGGCACGTGGGAGCTACTGTACACCACACGCCCGGGCACCGCCTCGCCCATCCAGGTCACCTGCCCTGCCTGCGGGAGCTTCCACGCCCCTGGCTGCGTTTCGCCCCTGCTACCAACGTGTTTTTCCGTGCACTCATCATTGTCGTGCCATGCCACCCGCCCATGCACGTCCCCCGTGGCACCTCATGCTTCCTGTTCCATCCCGCCCATGCTTTCACGCGGTGATTCTCTCTCGTGGAATGGGCCCGCTCATGTTCCATGCGTGGATGTGGCAACGCCATTCTGTGTGCTCGTGCTGCTGCATGTGAGCAGAGGGCGTTCGTGGGCGTGGATGCGTTCAAGGTGTTCCAGCAGATATCCCTGCAGCCCAGCAACGCGCGCGTCAACAACATTGTGGTCTTTGGGGACTCCATCGGCCGCCTCAAAGTCGAGGTCTGGCCGTGCCTCTCTCCCTCTCTCCATCTCTCGCTCCCTCGCTCCCTCTCTCCCTCTCTCCCTCGCTCCCTCTCTCCCTCTCTCCCTCTCTCCCTCACTCCCACTCTCCCTCTCTCCCTCTCTCCCTCTCTCCCTTTCTCCCTCCCTCTCTAACGGTCCTTCATTGCTGGAAGATCCTGGGTACATGCAAGGCATATAAGGTGGGTACAAGCATGCATGGTATTCGTGGACGGGATCCTAGTCCCCGGCTACTCCCTTGGGTGTTCAATGACCGCGAAGCAGTCCCCAAGGGACATGCCCGCCTCAGGAGCACCTAGGGGCGGCCCTTCAAGTGGCGAAGCCTCATTCACCTTCCCGAGGTAGGTGATGGCTTGACCCCGCTGGAGGGTGACAGACCAGCGCTGGCGGAACTGGCTGAGCGGATAAAGCCGCCTGGTAGGAGCTGGGGTCAGCATTGAAAAGGCGGCGGGCGGCCGTGTGTGCGAGGAGTTTAAGGAAGGTTGGCACTTCGGCGCATGGGCAGCCATACGTCTCGACGGCGAGTGGGAAGAAACCGACGTATGCTGCCCGGTGGCGGTAGTCGTCGATCTTTTTGTCCGCTTGCTCCCGGGCCATGTAACCGCGGCCTTTGCGCGCTAGCTGATCCCGGGTGCTGACTGGGTCGGTGACGGTGACGTCACAGATCCAGACCGCCCCCGAGTCCCGGTCGCGTATGGCCAGGTCGGCGGTCTTGCCGTCGACAGGGCTGTACATCGCCGTTTCTTTCGTGACGATGAGCTGTGCGTCTCGCCCCATACGTACGCACTCATCACGGAGGGCGTTGTGCGTGTCGGTGCGACCGTGTCCCGTCCCACAGCGGAGGAGGTGGTTTGGTAGGCGGGGGTCCGGGATCGCGACCTGTTGGGCGCAGTTGCAGACCCTGGGTGCCGGGAAAGGGAGGCCCAGACGGAATGCCAGGGCGATGGCATAGTGAGGCGGCGCCAGCCGAAGAGAAGGGAATAGGGGGATGGCGAGGAGCCAGTCGCCGGCGAAGTGTTGGGGGCCGAGGTGGAGGGACGGGGTTAGCGGGACTGCAAGTAGCCAATCCCCTGCCCCGTATCCGGTGAGTGATAGGAGCCGCTGAGTATGGCCCATGAGGGGGTTCGGCTCCATCTCCTGAGAGGCTCCACGCAGCTCCGCGTACCGCGCCCCCTGTACCTCGAGAGAGAGGCGGTGCTGCAGGGGTTCCCCCGACGGCTCCAAGCGTTCCGCGTGTAGCAGCTCCATTGCAGCCAGGGGCAAGCTTGCTTCACACGCCGCCAGCCAGGTGTGGAGCAGGGTCGGGCTGGAGAAAGGCGGGCAGAGGGGCCGAGCAGCAGTGGCCAAGGGGCTGTTTGGGGCGTCATGCTCTCTCTCAAGCGGTCGTGCTCATTGATAAAAGCCTGAGAACAACTAAACAACAGAGAGGCGGCAGGCCGGCCAGCAGCAAACCCCAAAGAGACATAGACAACAACTACACCCACAAGCCGCCCCCTGTCCCACTTAATCCCCGGGCGCCAGCCCCTATCCCCTCACCTAGCTACGTCCTTCCCCCCCCCCCAGGGCCGAAGGGTCTTCCACATCCAAGCTAGGGAACAGGTCCCCAAGGTGGGGCTCCCACGGGTCCGACGCCGGCTGGGGGTAAGCCGCCTGTAGTGCCATTCCAGACTAGGTAATCAACATGCAGGCTTGCAGTCGGTGCAGCAGCACTGACCACTGCTGCCGGAACTGGGAGTACAACTTCTTGGCTGGGGTGGAGAGCAGGTTGGCTCAGAACCGTACCAGTGCAAAGTGGTCTGCCAGTAGGCGGAGGAACTCTACAGTGAATGGCGCCAGGGCCCCGTATGTCTCCACAGCCAAGGCAAAGAAACTGACCCAGTCCGGTCGGTCCTCATAGTCCTGGTCCTTGGCACGTGCTGCTTCCTTTGCCGGCCATCCCGGCAAGCCGCCCGCGTCTAGATCTCGGCGTTGCAGGATGGGGTCAGTCACCGTCACATCCGTGACCCATGTGGCCCCTGATTCCATGTCCGGGACTGCCAGATCGGCCTTCTTGGGGTTAGAGGGGGTGGTGAACTGAGTGGTCTCGTGGTAGGTGAAGAACTTCGCCTCCCGCGCCATGCGTAGGGTCGAGAAGACGAGGGCGTTGTGCATCTGTTTGACATACCCCCTAGCTTACACCTCAGGATATGGTTGGGCAGGGTTGGGTCGGGTATGGTCTCCTTGCCACACGAGTAGCCTCCCGAGGCCGGCTGAGGTAGGCCAAGGCGAAAGGCGAGCGCCGTGCCGAATTCGCCAGGGGAGAGGGTGAGGTCTGGGCGGGTGGGTGTGGCCATCAGCCAATCCCCTGTTCCTGTCCCCCGCAGAGCTAGCAGGCGGGTGCCGTGCGCGTTTTCCTTCCTTGGTCGGTCCAGCAGTGTGTCTGCAAATAGCTCCTCCGCGCGGAAGAGATTGACGTCGCGTGAGAGGAGCTGCTGGAGCGGACCCTTGGGGAGGGGAGGAACGGGCTTCCCCAAGCGTCCGTCGTCCGGAGCAGGACTTCGCTCCATGCCCTCTACTCCGCTAGGGGCAGCCCATCTGTGGGGGTGGTGCGGAGGAGGAAGGATGCCCGGCGGGAGATGCAGTGGGATATCAGCAGCAAGGCATGCTGTGGGTGCATGTCCTGCAGGAGAGGCAAGGGTGCCGCTGCCTGCTGTAGCTCTTTGTGCAGGAAGCCCGCGCAGTATTCTTGGTCCCCCACGGGGCTGCCGAGAACGCGCACCCCTCCATCCGCTTGGGTCACTCCGGCAGGTATGCGGGAACGGCTCGCTGCTTCCGGTGACAAGCCCTCGCACTTGCCGAGTGAGCACCGGAGACCGCACTCCCTCAACCCCTATTGCAGCTTTGCGAAGGCGGCTGCCGCCATCTCTGGTGGGCCGACGATGGTGATATCGTCGGCATAGGCCAGCAGTGCTATCTCGGGGTAAGTTGTAGCCACCTGCGCGAGGACAGGCTGGATGGCCGCCGCAAAAAGATGCGGTCCTAGGGGGTCCCCTTGGCGAACCCCACGGCTGCTGGTCACTGTCTCACTTCCGAAGGCGGCGTCTAGGAGGAGGGGGGAGGGTGTGCCGTATAGAGTGAGCACGAGCGGTAGCAGGAGCTGTAGTCCGGTCCAGTGTAGTACTTGGAGGAAGTGGTGTCGATGGATGCTGTTGAAAGCGTTCTCGACATCCACCTGCACGACGACGAATTGTGGGAACGCTTGGAGCAGCGTGCGCACGGTGTGTATGACGCATTCCGGCCCCCCGAGACCGCCACCCCTAATTGGTGGGGTAGGAAGAAGTCGCGGATCGTCGCGTTTAGCTCATTCAGGGCTGCTTTCGTGGCGATGCGCAGGACGGCTTCGCCAATGGCGATTGGGCGTACACCTCCCCCCGGCTTAGCTAGCGCGATGAGCTTGCAGGGGAGTAGCTACTTGTGTACTGGAGAGGCTAAATGCCCGCCAATCGTGAGATTGACGGCATCTAGCAGGAGGAGGTTGAACACATGTGGGCTAGAGAGGGCGGGGTCTCTCAGGTGTTCAAAACAGGTCCCTGATGGCCCTATTCCCACTCCTCGGGGGCATTTCACGAGGAGTTTGCGAAATTCCTTGTGATCAGCTTGCAGCTGGTTGCCAGGTGTCCCGCCCAGGTGCTCTGGAATGTCGCCCTCTGCCTCCGGGTGTTTTTGGCGAAGTGTCGCCAGGGTTACTGTCGTCGGTGGCGAGGGGTGTAACGCCTTCAGAGCCTTGGTTAGGTTCGATTTGTGAACCAAGCCTTCTGCTCGCGCCCGAAGTCCAGCAGGGTCGGGCTGGTGGCGAGCAAGTTGAGTGTCAGGAGCTGCGTCAAACTGTTGCTGCGAACAGTTCTGCCCACTTTCCGCTTGGATATCGTGGAGACGCTGGCACAGGGAGACCCAGCGACGTTCGTGCGCGGGTGTTGGGCTAAGAGTCAGCCTTGGTAGATACTGCAGCAGTCGTCATCCCCCCACGCATGCTGGGTGTAATTTGATGCGCTGGAGGGGAACCAGCAGGCATTCCGCGAATGTCTCCAACACTTTTGGAGGCAACTATCACACGAGGAATGGGTGTCGCGAATCTTGCAGTAATTTCATATCCCAGCGGGTAAACCACCTCCCTAAGTGCCTCGTCATTGGCGAGCTCCTCTGGAGGGCGGGGTTGCGCTGGCACGTCCGATGATGGCTCGGATTCCGAGCCCGGTGCTTCCCTCGGGTTCGCGCGTCGATGTCGAAGTCCCTGATTCATTTCCTCCTCGGAGGCGCCATCCGAGATCCCTCCCTCTTCCGATGCCTCACTCCTCCCTGGTACATAATCCCCCCACCGCCTTCCCCTTCCAAATCATCCTCCTCCTCGCCTGTTTCCCCTCCTTCCTGTTGCCTCCCGTGCCTCTGCCTCTAGTCCCCTACACACGCCATTGGTCGCCTCCGCGCGGAAGTTCTCCCGCATACGCTTCCCCCCGTTTTGCGCCTGCGCCTCCTGACTCTAGTCCCTCCCCCCCCCCCCCCCCCCCCCGTCCTCGCGCTGCATCATCTCTCTCGTTAGTGTGTGGCGAGTTCTCCTCGCGGCGCGCGCGTGCACCTAGTCCCCCCTCGTCCACACCGGTCTGCTGGCCGTCAAGGCGTGGGTCATCGCCTGCTGCCGCACCTCTGTCGCCCCCCAGCGTGCCTCTCGCGATTCCCACGTCGCCCTGCTCCGCGTCCGGCTCTCCGCGGGAGGAGTCCGGTCCCAACGCGGTGCGTCGTGCGGTTTCGCTGCGGACTGCGTCCGTTGCGTCGCCATTCGCTGCGACGACGCCTCCTCGCTGTCGCAGCGATGTACCGCGCACAGTACGCGGTGGGTGGGGCATGGCGATCGCAGGCTCCGCTGGCGCCTCCTGTCTCCGCTGAGGAGGAGGAGGCTGCGTTCTGGGGTCATCGGTTGGAGGAGGCCTCGCCGATGCTGCTGC